AACTATTTGGAGATCTTTCCAAATTCAACGTGTGTCATTAGTTACACCCCCTCATAACACAATAACTTATAAATAGGGGTAGGTTTGGAATCCAAAAAATACAATAAATCAGATTTTAAGTTATATTAGGTAACTTGCTTAGTTGGATCCTAGTCATTGGGTATTATTTGAAAAAATTGGGTATTTTAAATAGAAAACTAAAGGAAATGGTTGTAGGTGATTTAAAATGAATTTTATGGGTCTAAGCTCAATTTACTATTTTTATAACCATTCATGTTAAGTACTCAAACAATAAATTATTTTACGTTTGAAGATTCGTGAGTTAAAAAAAAAAAAAGATTAAAGCATATAAGTAACTGACATGTAATATTTTATATTAAATATTTTAAAATGAATGGTTCTATTAAAGAAATTAACTTTAATAAATAAATAAAAATTAAAGAAATTAACATTAAAATATGATGAATAGTTTTTTTTATCCATTGGATATATAAAATCATATTAATTTGTCCCTAACCTTATAATACTAATTTTCTCTTGATAAAATCGAACCCACGAAATGAAAATATTGCTGCCTAATTTGCTTTTGCCGACGACATTAACAAGGTTTCGAAGGCATCCTTTGTTCGGATTTGGAACAACCCTAGCCCTTGTCAAACACACTTGCCTTGGTACCACTGGATTATTCATCTCAATCATCATCTCGCGAATATGATCATTCTATTTTCAAATTGGGCAGTGGTTTTGGTTGGTTGTTGCTCTCTCTCCCTGCTATAGCCTTGAGCCTTGACTGTTTGATGTTTAGGGTTTGCCCTTTGACAAAATTCTACCATGGACGTGGTGTATCAGTGCGCCCATTTTTTCACCATTGGATCAATTGTAATCAATGGCTATTGACAAATGTAGAAAAAGCTATAATTGGAACTTGCACAACCGGTAAAGAGAACAAAAGTATGAAAGAGAAAAGCAAAACAAAAAAAAGGCTTTTTAAAAGAGCCTAGTAAAGGGAAATTGGCGGCTATACCCCTGGCTCACCTAATTTATTCACTAATATCCTTATTTTGAAACCCAATCACAAATGCCCCTTATAAAAACTCCCTATTAACAGCCTATTGCCCATCCTTCACTTAGTTTTTTTTTTCCTCAGTCGTTGCTCTTCCTCTTCCTCTTCTTTTTTTTCTCAATCGTTGCTCTTCCTCTTCCTCTTCTTCCTTCTCCCAAACCTCACAAAACCCACATCCTACATGGAATCTCACTAACTCTATCTCCTCTTAGTTATATCTTAGTTATATCCACCTCCACCATAGGATCTCCCCTCCCCTCCTCTCTTCTCTCTCTCTCTCTCTCTCTCGTTCGCACCCACATCGGCGACAGTCACTGTCACCTCCTCAGAAACCCTAACCCACTTCGGCAACGACCACCTTTCCACCTTCATCTCTCACTCTCTGTCAGCTCTCTCAACCTCCATGCCTAGAGATGGGGTCTCAAGTAACCAGCTTGGCTTTTCTCCTGCACATTTGGGTTTTCTTCTCCTTGTTTCAATTTCATATATGAGTTTGGGTTTTTGGTGCTTGATGTGAGTACAAGTCCCTCCAAGGCAAATTTGGGTGAGATTGTACAAAATTTGGACAAGGTTGTACCAACTCCCACGGCCAGGATAGGGGACAAAAGGCAAGTCGGCAATGGAGTGGAGGTTGCGTAACAGAGTCTTGGGGTGGTTGTGGTGGAGCCAAAGCACAGCCGTGTCAAACTTTCTGTTATAAAAAAGGATTGAATCGAAGGTGAAGATGAGTTTGAGGGTGGTAAGGGGATCGTGGGACCAGGCAAAGGGAAGCAGTCGCTCAAGATATTTAAAGCAGGGGTTAGCATCTCTATATTCTGGTTTGAGGGCGTCGAAAAAGAGATCAAGGCAAGGGTCACCGTAGGAGGAGGAGGAGGAGGGAATACAAGGCCAGATGTTGTTGTTGTTGGCCATGTCAGAGTTCGCATTGGAAGTAGCCATTAATCTCCTTCTTCATTGGATTGGGATTGGAATTGAAATTAGTGAGGTGGTTGCAGCTTCTACTAGTTGTGGAGGCGACGAAATGAAAATATTGCCACCTAATTTGCCTTTGCCGACGACATTAGCAAGGTTTCGGAGGCATCCTTTGTTCGGATTCGGAACAACTTGCCCCCGATACCACTAGATTATTCATCTCAATCATCATCTCGCGAATATGAATTCTATTTTCAAATTGGGCAGTGGTTCTGGTTGGTTGCTGCTCTCTCTCCCTGCTATAGCCTTGAGCCTTGACTGTTTGATGTTTAGGGTTTGCCCTTTGGCAAAATTCTACCATTGACGTGCTGTATCAGTGCGCCCATTTTCTCACCATTGGATCAATTGTAATCAATGGCTATTGACAAATGTAGAAAAAGCTATAATTTGAACTTGCACAACCGGTAAAGAGAACAAAAGTATGAAAGAGAAAAGCAAAACAAAAAAAGGTTTTTTAAAAGAGCCTAATAAAGGGAAATTGGCGGCTTTACCCTTGGCTCACCAATTTATTCACTAATATCCTTATTTTGAAACCCAATCACAAATGCCCCGTATAAAAACTCCCTATTGACAGCCTATTGCCCATCCTTCACTTAGTTTTGTTTTTCTCAGTCGTTGCTCTTCCTCTTCCTCTTCTTCCTTCTACCAAACCTCACAAAATCCACATCCTCCATAGAATCTCCCTAACTCTATCTCCTCTTAGTTATATCCACCTCCACCATAGAATCTCCCCTCCCCTCCTCTCTTCTGTCTATCTCTCATTCGCACCCACATTGGCGACAGTCACTGTCACCTCCTCAGAAACCCTAACCCACTTCGGCAACGACCACCTTTCCACCTTCATCTCTCACTCTCTGTCACCTCTCTCAACCTCCATGCCTAGAGATGGCGTCTCAGGTAACCAGCGTGGCTTTTCTCCTACACATTTGGGTTTTCTTCTCCTTGTTTCAATTTCATATATGAGTTTGGGTTTTTCGTGCTTGATGTGTGTACAAGTCCCTCCAAGGAAAATTTGGGTGAGATTGTACATAATTTGGACAAGGTTGTACCAACTCCCACGGCCAGGATAGGGGACAAAAGGCAAGTCGGCAATGGAGTGGAGGTTGCGTAACAGAGTCTTGGGGTGGTTGTGGTGGAGCCAAAGCATAGCCGTGTCGAACTTTCTGTCAGAAAAAAGGATTGAATCGAAGGTGAAGATGAGCTTGATGGTGGTAAGGGGATCATGGGACCAGGCGAAGGGAAGCAGTCGCTCAAGATATTTAAGGCAGGGGTTAGCATCTCTATATTTTGGTCTGAGGGCGTCGAAAAAGAGATCAAGGCAGGGGTCACAGTAGGAGGAGGAGGAGGAGGAGGGAATACAAGGCCAGATGTTGTTGTTGTTGGCCATGTCAGAGTTCGCGTTGGAAGTAGCCATTAATCTCCTTCTTCTTTGGATTTGGATTGGGATTGGAATTGAAATTGGTGAGGTGGTTGCAGCTTCTACTAGTTGTGTAGGCGACGAAATGAAAATATTGCCGCCTAATTTGCCTTTGCCGACGACATTAACAAGGTTTCGGAGGCATCCTTTGTTCGGATTCAGAACAACCCTAGCCCTTGTCAAACACACTTGCCCCAGTAGCACTGGATTATTCATCTCAATCATCATCTCGCGAATATGAATTCTATTTTCAAATTGGGCAGTGGTTGTGGTTGGTTGCTGCTCTCTCTCCCTGCTATAGCCTTGAGCCTTGACTGTCTGATATTTAGGGTTTGCCCTTTGGCAAAATTCTACCATGGACGTTGTGTATCAGTGAGCCCATTTTTTCATCATTGGATCAATTGTAATCAATGGCTATTGACAAGTGATTTTGATATGGTCCCTCTTCCTAGCTAAGGGAACATAGAATTTAATGCCCCATTCAGTTTATGGAAAATTGGCAATCTTTGAGCTGGAGATTTGCTGAATTTAGCATGACTTTATTCATGAAACAGATACGAGACATGACATCAACCCAACAATATTTCAGTTAAAGCACATAGCATAATTAATTTCACTTGCAAATGTGATACACGTGAAAGACATGGCATAATCCCAATCTAATAGCAAGAGAATAAAAAAATAAAATCTCTTCTAGTCTAGTGATACGTCTCTTCTTAATGTTGGAAGAGATCCAAAATTCGAATATCCTCTTCACCATGAATCAAAATAACAAGACAATGAAAGAAAAATGTGGCCGGTAGATTGTTGCTTACCCTAAGGCCATTTCTAGCAGCCCCTAGGGCTCAGGCTAGGGGGGGGGGGGGGGGGTAAAAGGCCAAAACCCATTTCCAGCAACAAAAGCTAGCCCGAGCAAGAGGTGGGGTCCACCAGCCTGGGCTGGCCCGAAGGCAGAAGTAGCCCGAGTGCTGGCCCGAAGGCGCTGCTGACGCTAGCGTGATGTCAGCAAGCATTCAAATTTTTTTAAAGTTGGCGCGTGTGTTGCACGCGCCAACATTAAAAAAAATTTGCTGCACGCGCATCAGCTTTTCCCCAACGGTCATACGCCACGTGGCAGCTTCTGGTCCTTCCGATTGCTTTTGTCATCCAATCCAACGCCCAGGAATTTTTCAAGGCCAACAATTATGAAAAAAATTCTGAAATTTTTTTTTAAAATTCCCAAAAATTACTGAATTTTTTTTTCTATAAATACCAATCAATCTTCTTCATTTTTAACAACAAATCCTCATACATTTTCTCCTCCTCCAACTATTATTTACTTTCTACTCCATATTTTTTTCACTTTCAAGTTTAATTTTTCTCTATCATATTATGGCTTTTTCTCAAGAAACTGGAGGGGCATGGAGCATCATGGAAGATGTCTTGTTGTGTGAGTGTTGGATCCAAATTAGTCATGATCCCATATCGGGTAATGAGATGAAAATCAGTCAAATGTGGAAAAAAATTCATTGCGAATTTGTTGAAAGATTGGGTTCCACCCGTACAGAAATGACATTGTCTAGTCAGTGGAAAATTCTCAACAAAGAGTTGAGGAAATGGAGAGATGCCCTCACTAAAGCGATGGATAACCAAAGAAGCGGGGAAAATCTAAGCGATGAGGTAAATTATTTGTAATTTTCATTATATTAACTTTAATGTCCTATTAATTTTAATTTAAATGTTTCATGCAATTTGTATATTTTGTTAATATTTCTTGTATTTCCATATTTATTTAAATATTTCTTGCGATTTTTTTATTTTGTTGATATTTCTTGTATTTCCATATTTATTTAAATGTTTCTTGCAATTTTTATATTTTGTTAATATTTCTTGTATTTCTAATATTTATTTAAATGGTTGTTGCATTCTCTATATTTTGTTAATATTTCTTGGATTTTCATTCATATGTTTATCTTTTTTTGCATTACCAATATTTTGTTTAAGTTCTTTGCATATTCAATTTTTTTTTATATAGATTGTGCAAGCTCAAATGTGGTTTTGTGCTACTGGACAAGGGAAAAAAACTTTCAACCATACCCAATGTTGGGAGGTGGTGAAGCATTGTAAGAGATTTATCATTATTTCAACAGCTCGAACGGTGGTGTTAAATGAGACGTCACTCCATGATTCACAAGCTTCAGATTTGCCTATGGAATCCCCTGTGAGTGAAGACTCACCCATTGAAAAGGCGCCAAGACCTATTGGGAGGAAGGCGGCGAAGGCAAAGAGAGGAAATAATTCTACTAGTAATGCCTCTAAAATTTTGGAGGAAATTGCAAGGCAAAACGCCATGAGACTTGAATTAGACAGGAAAGCCCAAGAAGATGAAAGGGCAATCCGAATAGAATATGCTAAAGAAAGGGAGTATGTACGCAAAGAAAGGGAGTATCAACGCAAAGAAAACGAAGACAAGAAGGATCGGGAACCCATGGCCATGGATACAAGCCATATGTCTCCTGAAACAAAACAATTTTGGAAGCTTGAACGAAAGGCTATTATGAGACGAAGACTTTTTCATGATGATGGACCTAGCAATACGGATTGGTTAAATGATGAAAACCCTTAAGTTAGTCTGCTTGCCTTTTCATTTCATTGTATTTTAATGTTTTTGTTTTAATTTTTGCTTGTAATTCATGTATTTTATTTTATTAGTAGTATTGGTTTTCTTTGAGTTACCAAAGAAACTATTAAATAAAATTACTTTTTATTCAAAACATTCCATACTTCAAAAACTAACCACAACCAAAGCATTAAAAATATAAAAACAAACGAACCACAACCAAAGCATAAAAAAACCAAACATAACTAAATATAAAACATAAACATTAAAATCTTAAAAAACATCTTCACTTCACTTCAGATGAAATTTATCTGAAATTTGAAATTGAAATGAAAAGTTGAAATTCAAATGAAATTTATCTGAAATTTGAAATTTAGATGAAATTTATATGAAATTTATCCGAAATTTGAAACAAAAATTTATTTGAAATTTGAAACTAAAAATCTTATCTGAAAATCTTCTCCGAATATTTTATCCGAAAATATTGTCAAAATTAATTGTTTAGGTAAACAAATTTGTGAAAAAAAATAAAAAATTGAATAGTACTTGCCATTTGCCCGGGCAACTGCTGGAAGTGCAACTTACTATTTGCAAGGGCAGACACTATTGAAGTGAATAGCGACAGCCCTAGCCCCCCCTTGCCATGGCAAGAGTTTGACTGCTGAAAATGCCCTAAAGAGAACCTCATTCCCCCATTGCTCTATATAAATTAAGCTAGTTAATTAAAGTAGTGTGGTGCTTGTCTTTTGCGCCCGAATTCAATTTACTTTCCTGTATGATACATTAATTTAAATTATCTCTTGTATAAAAAATTAACAATAATCACTGTCAAGTTTCAACACCAAACTCAACACAACCCCTTGTCAAAAAGCTCTAAGCCTTGAGCTTCTTGCCTCGGTCCATTTTAGTGTATTTGGGCATTTTTCTTTTAAATTTCCACTTGGGTTTGCAATTGAATTTACATTTAAAATTGGGGTTCTAAAGCTAAACAAAGATTGGTCTGAATGAGTTGATTGTATGTCAGATGGACCCATTAGCTTACAATCATTTGGGTCCACGTTTATACATAAAAAAAGAAAACCCTTTCATTTGAGGCCCTTCAGTTTGGTGGGCTCTGATTATCCATTTTCAATTTTTTTTTGGGAGTTTCACTAAAACACCCAAAATGAGGGTTGAAATTATAAAAAAACCCAACACCCAAAACACTTTATAAACACACCCAAAATCCATCATTACACACACTCAAAATCCATTTATAAACACACCCAAAAAATATAAAACTGTTGATTTTGAGTGTATTTCTATGTTTAAATAGTACGTGGATTTTTTTATAAATACATATTTAGGATTGGATTTATTTATAATAATATTTTTTTTTTGGGGTAATAAAAAATGAAGGAAATGCTCCAAAATCCAAGAAGGGTTTTGATAGCCTGTACCACTCTGTGCTTTGGGACCATCTGTGACAAAACAGCTGTTGTCTGCAGAACCGTACAGGTCTTAAAACTCACGTGCCGCAAATGGATCCAGTTACACTGTCGGCCCTACCCTACCGGCAAAGGGTAGTTGACCGTTAAATTTGGACACCTACTACCGCCCCTTTTCGAATGCACCAGTGTTCAAAATATTTAATGCCGAAAAATCTAAAGCCTGCTCTCCTTTTTCTTTTGTAAATTTATTTCCTTTTGGCCCCTATTCTCTTCTTTTTTGACGAATATTCTTTCACTCTGTCACTCAACCCCTCCCTGCCTCCTCTTCTTCTTGTAAACTCCGAACAAAGTCCAAATCTTGACGGAGGTTTCGATCCAAGAAGCCTCAGAATTCATCGAAGAAATCGGTTTGTTTGTAACCCTGTATTCTATTAGTGAGAAAGATTAGCCTTTTTTTTTTTTTTTTCATCTTGGTCTTTCTGATATTGATTAAAAAGTTCAAGTTCAATATTTTTATGGAATCCATGGCGGTGATTGGCCATTCGATTCATACATGTTTTCATATCAAAGCTAAGAACCCAAGAGTTAATTTAGAAAAAAAAGTTTTTGGGGTACCAGTTTTGCATCATGGGGTGTCTTGTATTGGAAAGAAACTCAAGGGTAAGGTTGGGGCTGGAGTGCAGGCAGTGCAAGTGGGTTTGGAGGAATCAGAGAGAGTGAGAAATCTGAAAAGTTTGGAGAGGACTTTGGAGCTCGATGCGGTGTCAGAGAGGGAGTTGAGGGAGAAGGGGTTTTTGGGGTTGAGGAAGACCAAGCTTGTGTGCACAATTGGGCCAGCTTGTTCTTCTTTGGAGGATTTGGAGGAACTGATTTTGGGAGGGATGAATGTGGCTAGGCTCAATATGTGCCATAACACCCGGGAGTGGCACCGCGATGTGATTAGGAAGATCAAGAAGTTGAATGAGGAAAAGGGGTTTTCTGTCTCGGTCATGATTGATACTGAAGGCAGTCAGATTCATGTTGTTGATCATGGAGCTCCATCTTCTCTTAAAGTTCAGGTAAAAATTAACAAAACCCAACTGGCTAATTGGTTTTTCTTCCTAGGTAGGAGAGTTAGACCTTGTATTTTTGCTCAGAATGATGCATGATCTGTCATCAGAAGGAAATGCAGAATAAAAAAAGTCAATTTGATGGACTTGTTTTTCTTTTTCTTGCAATATCAGGAGGATTCAATCTGGCTATTCACCACAGAAAAATTTGATGGTTATGTTCCATTCACAGTTCAAGCCAACTATGAAAGTTTTTCTGAAGGTAGTGACTTTATTGCAAATTGTATAACCGGCAGGTTTTATTGTAGTAGTGGATGAATTTTTCATTGAGGCTTCCAAGTGAATTGTTTGCAGGTATCAAAGTGGGTGATGAACTTGTTATTGATGGTGGAATGGCACTATTTGAAGTCATTGAAAAATTAGGAAGTGACCTGCGTTGTAAGTGCACAGACCCCGGTTTATTCCTGCCTCGAGCAAAATTCAGCTTTTGGAGAGATGGGAAGCTTGTGGAGAGGAACTATGAGCTCCCTACTCTGTCAACCAAGGTCAGTATCCATAAAATATTCTTGCATTTTGTTTTTCAAACTCTTTGGCCTATTAATGAATGTAAATCCTTAAACTTCACACGTTAGCACTATTGCAGAACCTACTAACTTGGGGAGGGGAAGACTTCTTAAGTTTGTTTATTTATGTACTTATACTGACATACATTCTTATAATACCTTTCCATGCTCATGTTTATTTCTGTCTGTTCTACAGGATTGGTCTGACATTGAATTTGGAATTTCTGAAGGCATCGATTTTATTGCCATGTCCTTCGTAAATGATGCTGAATCTGTCAGGCATTTGAAGAATTACCTCTCTACCAAATCAGCCACGTAAGGAAGTAGACAGTTATAGTTCAATATTTCATGGAAACTTTCTTCCTTGCATGATATGATGGATTCTTTGCAATTTCCGGATTAAATTATCTGTTTAAGTTGTTTTTTTGCATAATGTGGTTGAAGGCACTTTCGTACTTGCTTAAGTTTACACTCTAAATTCAGCACCTTTATTTGGGCTCTAAGTGCATGTGAGGGTAGGGCTGAGCTCAACTGTATCAATATCTCTGGTTAGCTTTTTCGTTTTCCAATTTTGTTATAAAACTTCCACATGCTTCAGCAATATCATCATTCAACAATGAAATGCCTGTAACTTTACTTTTCCATTTTACCACAGTCATCTGGCATGCCAAAATGAGTTCTGTGGTTTTTCAACCAGATATAAATCCTTACCATTCTTTTTAGGAGCCACATAGTTGTATCAACCTCTCTAGCTACCAAGCCTATAATCATTTGGAATTCAAAATATGAAAACTGAGGTTTCCCCTTTGCAGATCCATAAGAGTTTTGGCTAAGATTGAGAGCTTGGAATCCCTTCAGAAGTTGGAAGAAATCATAGAGGCTTCTGATGGAATCATGGTTGCTCGGGTTGACCTTGGAGTTGAAATCCCACTTGAACAGATTCCAACAGTCCAAGAAGAAATCACCAAAGTTTGCAGGCAGCTAAACAAGCCAGTTATTGTAGCTTCTCAATTTCTTGAGTCAATGATTGAGTATCCAACTCCAACACGTGCTGAGGTACTAATATCATATTCCTAGAACTACTCTAATTATAATGATTATTTTTGTAGCATGTGGAGCAGTAAGAGAGAAAAACCAATCAAAGAAAAAGATTTCCTGTTTTCTCGGGTTATTTGCTGTGAGAAAGTCTCTTTATAATGACTACTTTCTCAAAAGGTGGCAGATATTTCTGAAGCTGTTCGACAGTATGCAGACGCCTTGATGTTGGCTGGGGAATCAGCAATTGGATTATTTGGACAAAAGGCTCTTTCTGTTCTTCAAATGACCAGCAGTAGAATGGAAACATGGAGTCGTGAGGAAAACCGACAAGGGTCTCTCCTTCCACGTCAACTAGGAGTCTCATTGCCTGATCGCATTGCTGAGCAGATATGCAATTCTGCTGTTGAACTGGGTACTTCTACTTTTCTTCCACAGCCTCTCTTTTCCTCAATTAGTCTCGTGTGAAAATCAGCTAACATTTAATCAACCTGTACGCTCTCTGTGCAGCTAACAACCTTGCTGTGGATGCAATCTTTGTGTACACCAAGCATGGACACATGGCATCGCTCTTGTCACGCAACAGACCAAATCCTCCCATATTCGCTTTCACAAATGATGAAAGCACCCGTATGGCTCTGAATTTGCAGTGGGGAGTTATTCCACTTCTTGTTGATCTATCAGATGATATGGAGTCTAACATCTCAAGCACCATCCATCTCATAAAATCAAAGGGGTTGGTGAAAGAAGGAGATTCAGTCTTGGTAGTCTCAGATGTCACTACTTCTCGTGCTACTCCAATGGCGTTCCAATCAATCCAGCTTAAGACCATTGCTTAGGAGGAAGTGTTTTTTTGTTCAAGGTAATATATTAAAAAAGACAAAGTAATAATAGAATCTTTGAGTCCATGGAAGTACTATAGTAGATGTATCTGCAATTTACTTACACCCTAGGTTGTGTTTTCAAGCTTTGGATTATGTATTTAGTAAAAGAAAATCCTAACTTTTGTTTAGACACTCTCCAGTTCTTGACTGCCACATCTCTCACCGTGCTGTTAAGTGTGGTGAGGTCTTTACAAAGGTTATTGATAGGCTGTCTGTGTCTGGTAAGAAGCTTGAGGAGGAGCCTAAGCCCTTGAAGAATGATGGGGTTGACGAAACTTTATTAATTTTCTGTTTCGAAGTTTTCTGGACGGTACTTTTGACTATTATTGGAGCCAGCAACTAGCCTTTGCTTAAAGGATAGTGGAGGAGCAGTTGAGCAGACAAAGAAGCTGTGTTTTGTTGTGGAATCGTTTACTTTATCTTTTGTTGCTACAAAGTCTTAAGTCTAAAGAAACCTAATCACTTTGCAGATAAGCATGAAATCAAAACTCAATTAATTTCTCTAAAATAATCTATTACGTATTTCATTTTCCTTTTATTACATCGATCTCAGGTCATCAACATGAGCCAGTTTCGTCAGATTAGAAATAGAAAAGCTCCATTTCTTGACTGCCAGACCTCCCACCTTGCTGTTAAGTGTGGTGATTTCTTCACAAAGATTACTGATAGGCTGTCTGGTAAGAAGAAGCTTGAGAAGGAACTCAAGTCCTCAGAGAATGGTGCCGGCCAATTCTTAATTTGGGTTCTAGGGGTCTTGACTGGTTTCACACCCTGAGCCTAGGCTTTGCTTCCAAGGATAGTGGAGGAGTTGAGCAGACAAGCCTGTGTTGGGTTGTTTTGTTGTAGCTCTGAGAGGTTAAAAGCATTTAGTTTTTTGCCCGAAGTTCTATAAAAATAAAAGTAAAAAGTTTATATAGAAATGCTAACATCTCATCTGCTATACCTATGACCATGACCCCACATGAAATCAAAACTCAGTTCCTCTAAAACAATCTGTTATGCATTTCCATTTTCCATTTTCCTCGATCTCAGGTTATCAACATGATCAGCTACCTTGACCAGATTAGAAATAGACAATCTCCATTTCTTGACTGCCACTCCTCCCACATTGCTGTTAAGTCTGGTGAGCCCTGTGGCAAAGATTGATGAGCAGTCTAGCAAGGAGCTTGAGAAGAAGCCCAAGTTCTTGAAGAATGTTAGCTTCCAAAATTTACTTTGGTTTTATATGGAGATGCTTTGGATAGTTTTGACTGTAATCTCAGCCCGCGGCTAGCCTTTGCTTCCAAGTATTGAAGTCTAAAGAAACCTAATCATTTTGCAAATTTCACATGCTTCAACGTCATCTTACGAGAGTGTTTGGGAATATAAGATGATTATAACGTATCGTAATACTTGCTTTTGCAGCAATTAAGAATCTCAAATTTCTTGCTTACATCCAACTCCAACCCATTTTGCAAAACCTAACAAAAACTTGAGTCATTGTGAGAGGCTCTTAGGCCATCTCCAACCCAAATTTCTCCCTTTCAAAATACAACTATTCATATATTGCCCAGATTCAAACAGTTTTTTCCTCCAACCATGTTGACTCATAATTTGAGTCCAGTTTTAAATACAACCATTGGATGCAAATGGTCAACGCTCCATCGCATGCCATGTGTCCAGTTTTAATAAGTAAAAGTGGATGACTTTTTGCCTTGATGCGCCTGCTCCTTCAAGTAGGTTCAGTTTGAGTCCCACAAAAATTATTGCCTGGACGGCTAAATGGTCCCAAATTCCGGCTGAAAAACCAGTTGGGTAATAATTTAGCCTATTCATGTAGGTGTGTTGGGGAGAGTTTTGGGGCTAAAATCCCGAACTTTAGGTTTAGCCCCCTTGCATTGGAGAAGGCCTTAGATTTAGACCCATTTTTGTCATTTTCATGAAAAATCAAGGAATTGTTGGACCGCATATGTTGCCACTTTCCTGGAATAACAGGAAAGAAATCCATGGCGTGTAAGATGATATCATGTGACTAGAAAAGGCCAAAAGGAATGCTATTATTTCCCACCTGTGTTGGCTTCTAGTCTACAATATCTTTCTTTTTTAGATGCATTTTCTTTCGGAGAATATCTAATTTAACAACCATCTTAGCCCATTCACAATGGGCTCCTTAAACCACTCCTAGCTCTAGCTAAAAACACAAACCTAGATTTGATTCCTTTGTATTTGTGAGGCGAATACATTATCCTATTACAACACAATGTACTTTTCACATTAGAATTGTCTTCCTTATTTAATCATTAATAACAATCAACAATGCTAGTACTGACCATATTATAGATTGCCTCTCAACTCATATACGTAGCAATTCACCAATGTTAGGGAGATAATAAACAATATAATTAGTAAATATGATATAAATAACGACACTCTCGTCCATTATTCACTTTACACATGAGTATTATTACATATTTGTCCTTATTTGATATAACTCATGTTTCACATGATGATGATGTATGCGTCTCCCACATACAGTATTATTGTTCTTATATAACATTCTTTTTTTCCACATCTTAGTTATTATATTTTAAATTTATTCACGATATTCTCTAAAAATCATCAAATGATGGCTTGGAATTGTCTCAAGCGTGTGAATATAAATAGCTTGAGGGAAAAAAAAATAGTGAATAATGTCAGTCTCTCTCTCTGACCTCAAGTTTCAGCCACAAGAAGCAGCCCACGCAATCTCCCGCGCAAGTTAGCCACCACCAACTCTCGGCCACTAAAATACACCCGCACCCCTTGTCACCACTTGCTTCTTCTTCACCTCTACTCTAGAACAAAGCTTTCGCTCTCAAAAAAATCAGTTCTTTATTTTTTTGGTTTAGCTATCGGCAACGAAATGAAATTACTTTCTCATTGAGATGGCTTCTCTTCAAATGTTGAAGTCCTCTCTCTCTCCTATGCCCGTTTCCCAGTCAAATTTTCCGGGAAAATCCAGCTGGGTTTTCTCGGGAATCCAGTCCAGGAAAAGTTTTATCAGGTTGTCAAGTTATAGGGGGTCTGGATATTACTTGAGAAGGAGATTAAGGGTCTGCTGCAAAGCTCAAGAAGGCGACAACAAAAGCAATGGCAAGCTCTTCAAATTCTCTTTTTTTTTCTTTCAATTTTGTTTTGTGGTTCTTATTTAGGATGTTTATGAACCAAAGATTTGTGCTTTATGAGTTTAATTCCGACTTGTTTATGAGTGTTTTCTGTAGCGACCAATTCTAAACCACTAGAAAGAAAAATTGGAAATTGGAAGTAATCCGCTGTTTGGTTTGGTTGAGTAGCATGCATGGATAGATTGGGGGAGTGGCTTTGAATATGGATTTTGTTATTGTGTATGAAAAGTGAAGGAGCCAATTTTGATTTTCTTTCTTATAGTAATAAGAAGTTTATGTTGCCTTAATGTTTATAATGAAAAATCAGTGGTCAGTTTAACATTTACTAGGAAAACTTGGTTAATGGCTAGGTAGTTAAAATTGAAAAACTAATTTTTATGAATTAAGAACAAATGGGAAATTTTTGTGGTATTTCTTAGCAAAAAAACAACCCCAATTGGGAGTAATTTAGTGGGTCAGTTGCTTTTCTTAAATGATGTGAAGGGAATGATTGCATTCATATGTTCCTCAGTTTAAACGTATGTATCAAACTTTCAGGTGAAGAACCTCCGGAGTCACTGTTTATGAAGGAATTAAGGAGGAGGGGTATGACTCCCACTTCTTTGCTTGAGGAAAAAGAGAGGATTGAGTATGGAGCCAATGATGAGATGGGAAAAGAAGATAGAGGTTTTTCAACTAGAAATGCGGTCTCAACCGAAATTGAGAAAAGCCTAGCTAATCAAAGGGAGCGCTCCATGCAGTTGAACAGTGAAGGCCTTGAGGTTGAATCACTTATATTTCATTATTGGTTTATAAAATGATTTGCTCGTAGTTTTCCTTGGAAGTGTCTGTGTTAGATTAGTTGATCCTAAAATGAATTCAATAGTTTTAATGAAATGGAATTTTTATGTGTTCATGAGATGAGTAGCACCAAGTGTTGTTCAGTTTTTACTCTTTCAAAAATTCATACTTAGCTTCAGCATAATTCACTGCCCTTATTTGTTCAAGTGGTCCTAAATTGCATTGTGCATGTGACCATACACTCACAAGAATTCCAGGAATTGAGCATTAACTTCTTCATCTGTTTTTAGGGGCTAATCCCTCGGGCCAGACTCTTGCTGACAATTGGAGGGACATTCTTCTTGGGGTTTTGGCCATTAATACTTATAACTGTAGCACTCTTCTCTGCTCTCTACTTGGTAAGCTTTCTTCCTTGACCTTCAGATGGTTAATAATTTTATGCATGTTTGCACCATCCAGACACATCTCACTGTGTATTGTTGGCATCCAATCACTTCAGAATTGTTATTTTTTTTCTTAGTTTACCATTATTCCCTAAAACTTAAGTTGTTAGGATGAGAGGGGGCCTTTCCCTACGACTGAAGAGCTCAGCATGTAGAATTCAATATAAATTGAGAGGTTGACAAGTGTAAGGATTCGAACTTAGAATCTCCATTTGATACTAATGTTAAATCTTTTCTAGTTTACTGCTATTCTCAAAAGTTTAAGCTGTTAAGATGTAAGACAGAAGTTATTGTCTGACATGTTATGCACCTGTTTGATACATGAAACATGGTTGGTATGTAGTCAAGAACTGCTGCTTATATGATATTGAGGTTTCTTCAAGCTAGATGCATATTAGGTGAAACCATTACTTATTGTAAATAGGAAGGCATATTTCAACTGTGTATACTTCAGAGGAGTAGGAAAGTTATTAAGAGAATAGTTTGCAAGGAACATATTGTATAATGATAATGACTAAAAAAACTTGCGTATGGAAGTGATTCCCGAACATCTTGTGACCTCTTGACCTTAAGAGTTCAGTTCTTTCTTTGTTATTGTTCCGTGAAGCATATTTTTTCAAGTTTCTTGACACTTGTTTGGGGAAGTGTTGGCTTGTGTGTGTGTGGTTGTGTTTGGGGATGTTAATCTTTACATTGTATCAACTGTAAGATATTGATCCTCCAATGTTGTTGGGCAGTACTTTGGATCAACTTTTATCCACGACGGAAGCAGTTCGCCAATATCATCACCCCAATACATTGATCCATATGAACTTCTGGAAGACGAAAGGATTTCTCAAATAGCACCTCGTGTAAATTGAAGCACAAAGTCTTTCACATAACTTAGAATCCAAATACAGGTTTCTGTCAACTATTATATTGGCTCTTGTTTATTCTTTCTCTGTATAAATCTCAAACTTATCAATAACTTTCTCTTCTGTTTATTGCGATGTTGTTCTGGGGCTAATGGGCCTCGAACATTAATATGTACTGAATCAAGTTTCTTTTTGCACATTTTATGTACAATTAATTACCTGAAGTAATTAAATGTTAAAATTGAAAACTCTGCGCCCAGCATGTCTTGTGGCTGAAAAGTCGATGCTGTTGTTGTTGGGCTCCCATTATTTAAGACTAATAAACGATTTGAAAAAATGATTTAAAGATGAGTAAATAGTGAGTATTTAAACTTAAATGGGTGCTTGTAAAAAGCTCCCTTCAAATTTATTAAAGAAAAGACTCAATGTTGAATATTGCTAGTCCAACGAGAACCATTTTTGGTATACTAAATAGTCAGGAGGAGTATGGACTTAGCCAAGTTGGTTAGAGCGGATGTGCTCTTCACTTTGCACCGGAGTTCAAATTCCCCTCGCCTCGCCTCGTAGTGTTTAAAGTATAATATCATTTGTATAAAAATATAAAAGTGTGGAGTAGTGAGTATCTAGTCTCACACGTGAGACCAGAGTTCAAATGGCATTCTCTCTCCCGTACGTCTCCCGTACGTCTCCCGCTGCTGCTGGTCCGGGTTGTTATATCATGTGTGCACTTTTATAAAAAATAATCCATTTCATTTGTCATTTTTCATTCGATAACATTCTCATTCGCATTTCTTTCTTGGTTTTTTGTTTTTGTTTTTTTTAGCATTTCAATTCTTTATACCAATAATTTTAATTTAATTTTATCTAGCTTTGACATGTGCTTGCTTGATCACACCTGTTGGGCATTGGGAGTTGCTAGGCCAACAATTGGCCTTAACAAGTGGACCAATCACGGGTGAGTGGGGGTTGGTTTCAGAGAAAAAGATAATAAACAAGAACTGGGAATAGCAAAACATCACACGAGTCTAACCATATATCATCACATTGCATATAGAATGAAAACCATTAGCACACAAGTCTTATAGGCATCACCACATGACAGAAAAAGACATACAAAGCATTACAACAAAGGATAAGTTCAAACTTCAATCTGACTTCTTAGTAATCCTCCCCTTCATCATCCTCACCCTCGGCAGACTCGGCACCGACTTCTTCATAATCCTTCTCAAGGGCAGCGAGATCCTCACGGGCTTCAGAGAACTCTCCTTCCTCCATACCCTCACCCACATACCAGTGCACAAAGGCACGCTTGGCATACATCAGATCAAACTTGTGGTCAATTCTGGAGAACACCTCAGCAACGCTGGTAGAGTTGGAGATCATGCACACAGCCCTCTGAACCTTGGCAAGGTCACCTCCTGGGACAACAGTGGGTGGCTGGTAGTTGATACCGCACTTGAATCCAGTAGGGCACCAGTCCACAAACTGAATGGTGCGCTTGGTCTTGATGGTGGCAACAGCAGCATTCACATCCTTGGGCACAACATCACCACGGTACATAAGGCAGCAAGCCATGTATTTGCCGTGGCGAGGGTCACACTTGGCCATCATGGACGAGGGCTCAAATGCACTGTTGGTGATTTCAGCCACTGAGAGCTGTTCATGGTAAGCCTTCTCAGCAGAGATGACTGGTGCATAAGAGGATAGCATAAAGTGGATTCTGGGGTATGGCACCAAGTTGGTCTGGAATTCAGTCACATCCACATTCAGAGCACCATCAAACCTCAGAGAGGCAGTCAAAGAGGAAATGACCTGAAAAACAAAAGAGAACCCATTTAATAACAAGTAATTTCACATACATCAATAAGATCTAAATTAATTCTCTTCAAACTTACGCATCAGATAGTCATCCGTACCTGAGACACAAGACGGTTGAGGTTGGTATAGGTGGGTCGCTCAATGTCAAGAGAACGCCTGCAGATATCATAGATGGCCTCATTGTCGAGTAGCACAGCAACATCTGTGTGCTCCAGGAGAGAGTGGGTGGAGAGGACACTGTTGTAGGGCTCAACCACAGATGTAGAGACCTGTGGAGATGGATACACAGTGAACCCAAGCTTTGACTTCTTTCCATAGTCAACAGACAAACGCTCCAAAAGAAGAGACCCGAGACCAGAGCCAGTGCCTCCACCAACAGCATTGAACACAAGGAAACCTTGAAGCCCAGTGCAGTTGTCAGCAAGCTTACGGATGCGGTCCAAGCAGAGATCAACAATCTCTTTGCCAATGGTGTAGTGGCCACGGGCAAAGTTGTTGGCAGCATCTTCCTTGCCACTGATGAGCTGCTCAGGGTGGAAGAGCTGGCGGTAAGTTCCAGTCCTCACTTCATCGATGACAGTGGGCTCAAGATCAACAAAGACTGCACGAGGCACATGCTTGCCAGCTCCAGTTTCGCTGAAGAAGGTGTTGAAGGCATCATCTCCTCCACCAACGGTCTTGTCACTAGGCATTTGGCCATCAGGCTATAAATGAAAGCAAAGAATTAGAAACTAAAATACATATCCAATCAAAACTACGATGAAAAACACTAATAAATAACAATTGATTATATAATTCTAAGATTGGCTGTTAACTATCTTAACAATAAAAGCTGAGCACAAAACAAATTTTAGCTAATTGAGCAGAGAGTTATAATCTACACTTGTCTATTAAATGTTAAAACACACAACCTTTAGAAATAAAAAACACTGCAAAATTTGTGCGAGTGAGGAACAAATTGGTCCAGTTAACAAATAATTCAAAACCAGTTTGAGAAATTATGCAGATCTGATCCGTCTGGCAACAGATCCGAGCGAAACAAAGTTTCTTACAACACTACTAATGTTTATTTTTTATGCAAATCAAAACTGACATCTCTAGGCTCAATCGATTGATGAAAAACACGGATCTAACTGAATTTTTGAATGAAATGTAGATAAAATCGCAGATCTGATCAACACGAAGAATCACAGCACAAAAGCTACAGATCTAATAGAAACATAATAAAACTAGAACAAATCACAGATAAAAAATCTAAGTAAATATACGAACAGCATCGATAGAGAAATGGAGAGAGAGTTTACCTGGATGCCATGCTCAAGGCAGTAAAGCTCCCAGCAGGCATTGCCGACCTGGATACCAGCCTGACCGATGTGGATCGAAATGCACTCTCTCATTTTGATCGATTAAACGCGACGAAAAAACCGAAGAAATTTGAGAATAAGGAGAACAAGAAGAAGAAGAGGCTCTCACGAAGAAGAAAAGTCGAAGGCGTTTATTAAGACGCCCTCTTTTTCAGATTGAGATGAGATCTGAGGGGGTGCTCTGGGCGAGGTATTTATAACTGGAAATGGGAAGTGGCAGATGCAAAACTTAACCTGAGGTCTAGGGTTTGGTTAAGATTGGGAGGGAACGGACGGCCCAGAATTGACCGTTGGCTGTCTCTGATGTGATGCTGGCCTGGCTTAACCACCTCTTTTAACCACAGTTGTCTTTCTCAGTTTTTTTGGTTTTTCAAATTAAATTTTGCCGCCGAAGGACCGTATTAGTAAAGGTTATTTACGTAATACTGGTATAATCTATGTAAAGCAAAATGCAGAAAATGGTAAAACATTTAAAATACTATAAAATGACTTTGGTTAATTTAAAATACCAGAAAATACAGTTTTTTTTAAACAAAAAAATTGAGCGGAAATGAAAATCTCAAATGCAAATTTTTTTTGTTGGACAAAAACTTATAACAAAAGGTGCAACATTATGAAAATATCGCTAAATTAATACGTAGTTGGTACTATTAGTACAAATTATATGACTTCCAATTCAAATCCAGTTGAATTGAACTCGAATTTTGAATTGATTAGGAGTTTTGCATATGTAATCTCTCATAATTTTTTTTTTTTCTGGTAATACAAGTAAAAAGAAAATTCTAAAGTACGGATTTATGAGAAGATATGGGATATTATTAATTAAAAAAGCATATAATTCAAAAAATTCATGTGGCCAACACTGTAAGTATATACTTTGTATGATGGTGATAATAAAGCGGGAAGGGACATAAATGTAATGTGTAGCCAAAGCAAAGCAATCCCAGGACCCCCTGCCAGGGGCCTACCCAACTACCCAACCACCTCAATAGATGTCTTTGTCACTGGTGGCATGGCAACTATGGAAAAGCTTCCCTTGGGAATGTGATTTGCCATTGGCAATATCATTCATGTGGCCAACACTAAGTATATACTTTGTATGATGGTGATAACAAAGCGGGAAGGGACATAAATGTAATGTGTAGCCAAAGCAAAGCAATCCCAGGAACCCCTGCCAGGGGCCTACCCAACTACCCAACCACCTAAATAGATGTCTTTGTCACTGGTGGCATGGCAACTATGGAAAAGCTTCCCTTGGGAATGTGATTTGCCATTGGCAATATCATTTCTAATGAAGCAGTGACTATTTCCTTGGTTTGGTGGCCAGATGATCACTTTCAAGAAGAATGCTAGGGTCCGGCGTTGGCAGCTCTAGCCATCATCAATTGCTGATAGTCACTCACTTGTGAAGGAACGTTTAAGAGATTAGAAATCCATCGGAAAATGATCTTGTAAAATATTTATGAACTGATTATATTCACATGCCAACAGAGAAAATGAGTCAATATAGATGGCATTGAACTATCATTATAACAATGAAAAGAATCGAAGATAATGAAATCAGACGAGTATATGCTATACCAAACAGGACCCTACTTGCAGCTCACAATGGAAAATTTCATTTTTGACAGGATTTCTGTCGACATTATATGTATCATACAGGGGGGAACCCAACCATCACCCCACCTTCCCGAAACGTATAACAAAATTTTACCCTGCTATGCTATTATACATGGTGCTAAATCAAAATCACAAGAACATCTTGTGTACCTGTTCAGGCAGGAAGTTACATCATACTTATAATTCTTTCCAGACCAGAACCGTGGTTTTTATGCTATCTTCTTATCATCCTTGATTTCAAGTAGTCCTCCTTTATTGTTTATTGTATACTCCTCCTATTCTGGTGTGAGATTATAGTTGAACAACTCTCTTCTCTGAGTGGAAGTATCAGGTTGCCGGCTGTGTGCCAGTCCACGGACGGCTTTCATCTTCAAAATTGCGGAGTTTTTGGTTGCGGTTTTCTTGTACGTAGGTTACTCCAGTCCATATCCCACGGATGAGTAAGATGCTTACAAACACTAGACTTCCAAGGGTGCAAACAACCTAGATTTAAAACAGACAAAGAGAAAGGTCATAACAAGCTTTCATAAGGAGAAGCCATCCAGGTGCTGTATAAGTCAAAATAAATTACAGATATGACTCATGCCTGATGCAAACACGCAGATAAGACTGTGAATACTGTTTTCTATGCCTAGTATGACACCACAAGTGAGCCCTCAATAAGATCACCGACTATAAGAGCAGTCTGATTTGAAAAGCCATATACTTTAACAACTGTCAACATTTCAAATCTGTCAAAGGCCTTCTAAACATAGAGAATGCAGCACTCACTAAAAGATCAAGGCTTTGGAAAGGAAAAAAAACGATGCCTATACAACTGCAGCTTCAGGCATGGCTACTAACCATAGACCGAGCAGAGTTAACCATTACTAGGACACTTTGGCTGCTGAGTTCTTCTTTCCAGAGGAACCAGCTTTGACAAAGAGCTAACTCTTCCCATCTGTAACCGAGCTTTCCACAAAGTGCTGCAAGTATTATCATTTGCATTGCAAAACTGCTATCCGATGAAGTGCAATAGCAGAGATACTACTTGTTTTTATACTATTTTATTTCTCCCTTACTATTAATCGACTTATTTCTTTTTGAGATTTATTCATAGAAAAGAACCATGGCCTGTGTTGAGTCCAGTAACTCTAAAATCCTGTGGTATCAAGAAACAAGGCCACTTTGCAAAACTGGTGTTAAGGAAGAATAATCACACAAGCAACAAATGGTTCAAGTTTTAAAATTTCAGTCCATAAAATAACAGAACACAAATTTGATAAAATTAAAATTGGTAGGGAATAAAAAGAAAAACAGAAGGCCACACTGCTAGTTAATGTTACCAACCGTGTATGCAGAATGGGGGTTTCAACTAACATCTTTGCTCAATGAATTGAGAACCAAAACGTGCTGGGAAAAGACCCTTAAAAGAACCAGTAACAATACTCAAGAGCATGCAATTGATCATGAACTCACATGGATATGAAACCCATAACAGCTCATTGATAACCAAATAAATGGAAGTTTGTATACATGAATGTGGATTGCATATATAATTACCTCAAGAAATGCCTTCAAGACCCATAAAAATGCCAGTACGAGCACCCCATTAACAGAAAACCCCACCTGTGTATGAGCCAAGCCAACAAAAAACCGTTCAACAATTCAGCTATAAAAATCCCAGCTTTCTTTCGAAAAATTGAAAAATGGAACCCAAATTTATAATCAATGGTTACCAATTTGGTGGGAATTGAGACGGGGAGAACTGATCGTACGGCCCTCCTGGCTCGCCTGGAGACCTTCTTGAACATATTCTGAACAAACCTCACCAATAAATCCAAACTCCTATCTTCTTCTTCATCATCGTCGTCATCCTCATCGTCTTCATCATCGTCTTCGAAATTATAGTGCCGGTCAACCTCGGAGTTGATCGAACGGCTCCAGTTGCGCGGATCATCAACCAGATTATCAGCGCCGCCCTGTGAAATGAAGAGTCCAAAGGGTTAATTGATTAGAATTGTAGAGAGTGATTGATTTAGAGAGAGAGAGAGAGAGAGAGAGAGAGAGAGTGAGTGAGTGAGTGAGGACCTGAGGGTAATTAGGGGTTCGTCTGGAGGCTTGGGCGCATTGAAATTGAAGACTGAAACTTTTCGGTTTGAGATAGGGATTGAGAGTGTGAGGAAGATGCAATTGTTGTTGGTGTTGTTGTGTTTGAGGGAAGTAAGAAAGAGTGGGAGGTGAGAGAGTTGCAGAGAAGGGCATGGTGTGGTGAATGAGATTAAGAGAGAGACAGAGACAGAGAGAGGGCGAGAAGGAGAGAGAGGTCAAGGTAGTTGAGCTGGAATGATTGGTTAGTTTGAGATTGGCTTCGCTGAAAAAGGAACTCTATTGCCACCCAGCTAAATGCTCACCACACCCTCCCACATTGTTGTGAACTCTAAAATCCAATTTTACCCTTGTTGTAAACCCTAAACACAATTTTCTTTTTTTCTTTTTTTATTTTCATTTTTATTGATACAAGCTATATTCAACTTTAATTTAATATAAACTACGAGAAGGGGAGATTCAAACTCGGATGCACATAGTGGGGAGCACATCTACTATGGCCGACTTGACTAAGCCCATATCTGCCTTCATTATTTTATATTTAGAGAAGAGAATGAAAAAAACTAAACCCTTAAGTGTCGCTTAAAAGAAAAAGAGAGATAAATGTCAATTAACACTAATAATTCCGCCATGTCCAGGATGTCCAATTTTTAACAAAGACCAGACTATTTATATGTTATCAATCTAATTTTTTAATTAAGATCGGACTATATTGATATGTCATCATATGTCGATGTAAACGAACAGTGCGGTCTTTAATTAAAGACAAAGAATTTTTGTCATAACTAAAGCTATAAATCGTCACTATTGCAACACAAATACCAAGATGAAAAGACATATTTATAAGATGACAACGACCATTGATAAGATTTGGATTACAATCTTATTGGAATCACACGTAGTGCTTAAAAGCTGTTTTTATTTTACTTATGTGGCTTTTCTAGCACATAGCCATCACTGAACCAGCTTTGAAATGAACTCGTCAATGTTTTTGTCTGAACTTCCACCTTCATCCGCTGCCTTTTTAGCCAACTCCTTCCATTTGAGGGCGTTGATTTTCATTTCTTTCCCTCTCTCTCCCTCCATTATTTCACTTATGCAATGTTCCACTACTTCTTCTCTCACCTTCCCTTTCTCATCAGATGGAGCTGTGATCCCTATTTTCCACACATCCATAATGAACTTGGCATTGGTTCTTTGGTCAGTCCATTGTGGCATTGCCAACATTGGAACCCCCAAACTCAAAGCCTCCAAAGTTGAGTTCCAACCACAATGTGTAACAAAGCATCCAACAGCCTCATGAGCCAAAACCTCCAATTGGGAGCACCATGAGACCACCAAACCCTTCTCCGATGTTTCCTCGACGAACCCTTTTGGCACCTTAGCTGCTTCTGATGCTCTAACCACCCACAAGAAGTTACTTTTGCTCCTTCTCAAACCCCAAGCCAGCTCCTTCGTTTGCTCATCGTCAAGTTTCGCTGCGCTGCCAAAGGATACATAAGCAACAGACCCTTTTGGCCTTTCGTTTAGCCATTTGATGCAGGCATCATTGTCTGATTTAAAGAGGTTGACACCATATTCTTTGTCATCTTCAAGTCGCTCATCTAAGTACTTGGATGGTATAGTTGGTCCAACAGTCCTCAGTGGCCAAAACTTAGCCAGCCAATCCACCACCTAAGCAAAGAATTAATACCAATTAGTTTCATTGAAGCTTATAAAAAATTAATCATATATCAAAGTTGAGAAAAAAAAAGAAGGGAAAAAAAAAAAGCTTCCTTATGTACTCACTTGTTCTTCCAACTCATAAAATGTGTTGCAGAGGACCCAATCAGCTTTGTCAACATTGGAGAACTGACCCACAACCACTCTGTAAAAAGCTGGGCAATACTCCAAATCGTATACAAACGATGGCAAGTCCAGAGGGTCAAGTGGTGGCAACCCGGGAAGGGAAATCAGAGACTGATCATCAGCAAGAGGAACTTTCAAAAGTCCTTTGTGGACATGGTAGTAGATGTTGGCAACAGCACAAGACTGGGTGAAGAAAGTAGCCCCAGCAATTCCAAACTTCCTCGCAACATCCAGAGGCCAAGGCATGAACGCATCATAAACAACACAATCAACTGGAGGCCCTGAGCTTGAAAGCTTCTCAAGTAGCTCAGCCAAAGTTTTTGACCCTTCTTTCCAAAAGCTCTCCAAATAGGCATCAATGCTTGCTTCTCCTCTCCCGGCTTCATCGTAGCCATCGGAGATGGTCTCCAGATCCAGCGCTATGCAGCTTGATGCTGACCCGTACATTGTCTTGTGGATATAGCGGGTAGTGACCAGTGTGACTTTAACTCCTTTGTGAGATAAAAGCTTGGCAAATTGGAGCATAGGATTAATATGGCCTTGGCTCGGATAGGGTAAGACCAAGCAGTGACCTTTGTAGGCTCTCTGACCTCTCTCCATTTCTCTGTTTACACTAAAATTATAAGGTAATTTGTGGAATTTGTGTGTTTAGGAAAAGTTGTTGTAGCAAAATATATACAGGAGGGGAACATGAAGTGCACAAACTTTCCACGAAACTGCAGATGTTGAAACCTTGTCAACCAAGTCATCTTTGCACGTGCTCTGATGTATAGGTCCAAAAAATGAATGAGTTTCCTTACGTGTCAACCAAGTTGTGAACCGAGACATTTCCTTACGTTTCTTTGTTACATAGGTCCAAAAAATGAATGAGTTTTAAAAACTTAATCAAATAAAGCAAAAGGAAAACTACGGTTCCTATAAGCCCATCTAATATAAAATGGAAAGGGAAAGATGAGAAATTATTGTATAATCATCATCCTTTTGATCTCGACTCTTGAGTTATTCGTATAAGTAGTGCATAAAAATATGGAATCATTTCAAATAAAATAAGTCACTGGCTGACCTAGGCTACATAGTTTCTGTTTTACTTGATCTGAGCGGGGTGCCAGATCCCCAAATGTTTTACTTGTCTTGGTTTTTTTCTTTTCTTTTTTTGGGGGGTCTAGCCCCCAGTTCACAAAAAATAAAAACAAGTATGGAGTTGCATGAAGGGTAGAAAAGTTGTGGCACCTCAATTTGCTTAAATTATACCTATAATTGCAGTTGCTCTCAATAGTCTTGTAAGGGCTGTGAGCCTGTGACAGAATTTGGGATAAGAGTGCAACCAAGAAATAACAATTGGATTCTTTTCTCCCTAAACAATTGGTGTTGTAAAAGTTTTCCAATTAAGGTTTGAATCTACGGGGTGAGACGGCTTCTTTTAAGTTGATACCACATAATATATTAATACATTAAAATTACATATAATAGGAGCTCTTGATTAATACTAAATCCGACGGCCACATTTTTTTTTTGGGTTCATTATAATTAATAATTTGATCAACCACGGTTTTTTATTATTATTTTATGTTCCTTGTTGAATTATTTGTTTAATAATCCTTTAGCTATTGATGTCTAGTTTCAAATTTGCTATCAATATATATGGTCCAATTCTTTTTATATAATTTTGTTCAAGACTTGTGACACCTTAAATATCAGAGCCACCCTTACAGTGTAATATAAAGTGGAAAAGAAAGATGGGAAATTATTGTATAATCACCGTTTGGTCTTGAGGTCTTCTTATACACAATGCATAAAAATGTAGAATCATTTCATATAATAGGAGCTCTTGATTAATACTAAATCCGACAGCCAAAATTTTTTTTTGGGTTAATTATAATTAATAATTTGATAAACCATGGGTCTTTTTATTTAATGTTCCTTGTTGAATTATTTGTTTGATAATCCTTTAGCTATTGATGAGTAGTTTTAAATTTGCTATCAATATATATGGTCCAATTCTTTTTATATAATTTTATTTAAGACTTGTGACACCTAAAATCTCATAACCGCCCTTACAGTGCAATATAAAGTGGAAAAGATAAATGGGAAATTATTGTATAATCACCCTTTGGTTTTGAGGTCTTCTTATACATAGTGTTTAAAAATATTGAATCATTTCAAATTAAATAACTAATTAAATAGTCTCTGGTAGGGGTGTGTATCGTTTCAAAACCAATGTAATTTAGCCAATTCGCATCCAATCCAATATATATTGAATTATGATTTTTTCAATCCAATCCGATCGGACTATAGGTTTAAATTCAATATCCGATTCAATTGATATTGGATTGGATGATCGGTTTTCATAATTAAAAAATATAATAATGAAATATGAAACATTTATCATTACGTTTAATCTAATCAAACATTTTAATAGACGTAAATGTAAAATATAAATGAAATGCTAGAGAAAATTGTTTTGATTCTATAATATATTAAACATAACTCCATCAAATTATTTAAAATGTTCATAACTTTCTCAATTACAAACAAAATAAGCTTGAAACTAACTAGATTGGATTGGATTCTCACAAGCAATTTCGCCATCCGATCCAATCATGTATGTTTTGGAAATTAGAAATCCAATCCAATTCGCCAAATTATCAAAACCAAATAAAATTGGATTAGACCGATCAATTTGGGCAATTTGGATTGAATCTTGCACACCCCAAGCCTCTTGGGCTGCATGGCTGCTACATAGTCTCTGTTTTTCTTGTTCTGATCTGGGTTGCCAGATCCCCTAATGTCACGAAAATTAGATTCTACGCCTCCTCCATCTCATCCCAATCCCACTTGGGCTACAACTTACAGGCCTAGTTTATATGCAATTGAGACATGTCGGTTTATAAGAAACAAAATTTTATCGACACCACAGAAAAAAAAAAAGAGTATCCAAAGGATAATACAGCAAAGACAAACCAACCCAAAGAGAAAAATAAATCCTTGAAAGCAAGGCTGTCTTGTATTGTATGAGCAAAGAGATGGGCAAGGGCTGTGAGCCTGTGACAGAATTTGGCATAAGAGTGCTACCAAGAAATAACAAGAGATATTTAGTCATGGGTAATGCTAGGCTTACCACATTTTTCATACCACATTCATACCACCTCTCTAATAGAGGTGGAGCCCACCAATACAATGGGGCCCACCTCTATTAGAGAGGTGGTATGAATGTGGTATGAAAAATGTGGTAAGCCTAGCATTTTCCTTTAGTCATATACCCATTCTTAACACTAATAATATAGATGTGTGGAAAATAGGACTTAAAGCTCCATGTGATGAGAAAGGGGTTGTAAGACAAGAAGCAGTAGAACATTGTATACGTGAAGTAATGGAGGTAGAGAAAGGGAAAGAAATACAGAAGAATTCAATGAAATGGAGAGACTTGGCCAGGAAGGCAGTGTGTGAAGGTGGAAGTTCTGATAAAAACATTGATGAGTTCATTGCAAAACTGAGGTTCAGCCCTAGCTTCTGGTAAAATTCATTAAAGTAAGAGAATTGTCTTGGGTTTGATGAAATTTGATATGAGGTATTGTATTTGGTTACGTTAAAGTTACCACTTTTTTTCATTTTCTTTTTTAAAGAAGAGTTTCTAAGCAGAGAATTGTAACCAGAAAAATAGTTTTCTACTTCTTTTAGCATTGGAAATTATTTCCTTCAATCGACAAAATCCTATAGGTTTCCATTCCATCGTTGTTTTGTTAATCGTTATGTTTATTCACTATAAAACAAAATGCTATGTCCATTTCTAAAGTAATTTTTGCAAATGAATATTTTTCACTCTCTTTTCAAATAAATATTCCCACGTCTAACCTAAACTCTAAACACAATTTTCTTATTATTATTATTTTTTATTAATACAAGAGCAATATTCTACTTTAATCTAATATAAATTACGGGGAGGGGGATTCGAACTCGGGTGTAGAGTGGGGAGCACATCCGCATGGGCAGAACCACACTAAGGGCTACAGTGGACTGTAGCCAAGTGTGAGTTTTTAAGGAAAAAATATAAAACCTATATATTTAACTTGTTTTCAATATTAACCCAGTATATATTAACTTATTAAAGCCCAAAAAAGTAAAATTATTTATTTATTTATTTATAAATTTAGTTGGAGGACAGCAATAAAAATACACATTAAAATCGGTTCACTTTCAATTATGTTATTGAACATATTTTCATTTTGATCATATGTATTTTTCAATTGCATTTAATATGTATTTGTTTTTTGTTTTTTTATAAAGAACGATATAGTACTTTATTGATACGAGGAACATAAACAAGTACAAAGCCACTATGGTGTTAAACCCTATGTTGAACCAAAAAAATTCACAAAATTTATTTCTTTTGCCAAGTTTCTATTGGTCAAAGCCCAAATCCTACGAACCTTACCTAATCTAAAATGATAAGTGCAAAAAAAAGGGTGGCTGACCATTATAAAATAACAAATGAATATAATTCCAGCCATACAAATTTATTCGGATGGGAATTGAAATATTCCTCCTTTGCAGGTTTATCAAAAAATATATAAGTGTTTGCCAAGTATCAAACACTAAAGGATAAGCATCCCATCTAAGAGGTGATTGTTGACTCCAACTCAAATTCCTCACATCAAGGCCTATAAAAAGGGGGTAAATGGCTGGGAGAAAAGGGGGGGAGGCAGCCAGCAAGCTGCAGAGATCGCATGATAGTGCTGAAGGAAAAAAAAGGGGGACAGCCGCAGGAGGAGAGGAGTCACGCAACGCCGAGAAAGCCAACAACAACACCAGAGGAAGGCATACTCCCATGGCTTCTGCTAGACTTTGCTCCTGCTGTACAAAAAGTACAGAGCAAACCATCACAAATCCACTGCAAGGCCTCTCTCTTGGTGATGTTTAAAGCATCCAAAATTATCCGGAAGGATTGATCTCATATGATGGTGGAAACCATCTCAAACCTGTCACAACTCCAAGTCTGACTTGGCTGCAAGCAAAAAGCAAAGAAAGAATGGACAATGATGTGGTGATTCCATCACGGAGTCTAGAGCAAAAGAGGAATCATGTAATTACTCTAAGGGTAATTGCAAGCCTCTGTATGAAGCTCACGACAAAGCACATCATCGTGGCTGGAAATTGATGTCTTGCACATCAAAGAAAACAAAGCCCTCCTTGTGAAGGAGAAAAATAGCATGTGGCAAGCTAACAGGTCCTTGAAACCAAGGACTCACCTCAACACCATCAGGAAGGGATTTTACAAGCCAATGTTGTTGGTTGAAAATCCAAGAAGGCCCACCACGTGATGACTTTTGGCTTTGAATCAAAAGCAAAACCTTGAATCAAAATTCAAGGATTCTGCCACCGAAAAAGAGAACAATGAAGAAAGCTTTGCTCTTCTTCAGGTCAGAAGCAAATTTATATGAAATCAATTTCTGGGGCTATGACGCTACAGAAGCAAAACAAACAAAAAAGGGTTTTTGAAGCAAAGCAAGCTAAAGTCCCAACAACAACAAAAAAAAAAACGAAGCTGGCAGCTTCAATTCAAGGAGATGAGAGCCATTTTGACTCACCACCAATTAAGGAAATTTTTTGCATCTGAAACAAAGAATCTCTGGAGCTCCTCCACGCTCGGGTCTTTAACCCACAAAGCAAATCTCCAATGCCATCCGCAAAAGTATTAAGAAGCATGAATTCTCTAATCCTATTTGGACGGGTTTGTTTCTTTAATGGTTTGGGAGTTCCAATCCAGCAAAGAGAAAGCAGTTGGTTCAAGCAATTTGCTTGGGTGGCCTAATCAAATTATGGGACATATGTTTGCCGTAAACGCATACTTGTTTTTGTCACCAAGTTGCAAGATGTCAGTTAAATATGAGACCAACAAAGCCACAACTCTCAAGTTGGCTTAGCAAGCAGATGTCTAATTGGGACCCGTTAAAGGCTGATGTGCATCTCTCTCAACATGAGACAGTCTTAAGCCAATATTCTAAGATTTGGCGACCTCAGATATAATGGACTCGTTCATCACAAATCTCAAGCCCAACGGACTTGTCCGTGGAAAACAATCCAGTTGGCGAACAGTTGATGCAAAGTCTCAAGTCCGTAAATTATGGATTAATGGGCTTAAATTCCAAAAATGCCCATTGATTCCCAGACGGTCAAGTGAAGACCTAAGTGGTACAAAACCACGCCAAATCCCAAGTGGTACAAAACCACGCAAATTAAACAATCATTTTGGAACTATGTCGGTTTGATCTCGTCAAGGGTACGTAGGCAGTCTAACATCCTAATAGACGCAACCATAACCAAATTTGAATCCCTAGTTTATTCTAACCAAATTCGCCAAAACACTTTCCCAAATGCAAATGTCAATTTTAGAAAATTAGTGAGTTAATCAAAATTGCTTATTATTTTTTCTTGGACATTGACAAAAAGAAAGATGGTACAAAACCATCCAATTTTCCCCATGGGTCATCTATCCATGAAAATTCCAAAGAGAATAAATTCAAATCTCTCAAACATAAATTCTCAATTAGTGAGCCACATTTACCCATTAATTTCCAATTTTTCTCATGGGTCATTTACCTATGAAAATCTTCAAATTGTCTCAAAGACACAAATTCTAAATTATTTTTGGCCACACTTACCCATTAATTTCCAAATCTTGGAACTACGTCAGTTTGATCTTATCAAGGGTACGTAGGCAGTCTAGCATCCCAATAGACGCGACCACAACCAAATTTGAATATCTGGTTTATCTTAACCAAATTCGCCAAAACACTTTTCCAAGTGCAAATGTCAATTTTAGAAAATTAGTAGGTTAATCAAAATTGCTCATTATTTTCCTTAGATATTGACAAAAAGAAAGATGGTACAAAACCATCTAATTTTCCCCATGGGTCATCTACCCATGAAAATTCCAATGAGATTAAACTCAAATCTCTCAAACAGAAATTCTCAATTAGTGGGCCACACTTACCCATTAATTTCCTAATTTCCGAACTACGCTGGTTTGATCCCTTCGAAAGGGTATGTAGGCAATTTAGAGACTCAATCTAGATGCAACTGCCCAAATCTCAAATCCAAATTGAATCCCTGGTTCATTTTTAACCAAATTCACCCCAAACACACATCAAAATTGAATCCCTGGTTTATTCAGCTAAATTCACTCAAACACTTTTTCAATCAAATTCATTCAAATTCCCTTTTTTGCAATGAGTCATTTATTCATTGCAATTCTTTGAACTACGAGTGGCTTGATTCCCCGCGAGGGATACGTAGGCACCCTGAGGTTGGACTTGGGAGCAGTTGCAAAACCAAACACACAAGTTCTGTTTCTTTATGATGGAATCAAAGGGTTTTTCCCTTGAAGCAAGGGATTGTAATTAAGAGACTTGCATCTCGAATGGGTCGAACCTAAAATAATAAAACCCCATTATTTAATTAGTGGTGGTGAAATTATGTTGGAAGGTTCACATTTATCTTCAACACCCTATTTGGTTTATTTTAAAGCTTATTGAAAATTAGTCTATGGAGCTATGAACTAGTGTAGTTGAAATGATTTAATGTTTACTTTTATTTCTAGAAAGACTATAGAAATTGTAAGTACCAAAAAAAATAATCATTAAATTTTAAGCTAAGAACTTTAGCTAGCCCACCCGTTGAAAAATTCATGGTTCCGCCCTTGCACATCAGCTATGGCCAACTTGACTAAGTCCATGTCTGCCTTATTTATTTTTTATTTAGAGAAGAGAATGACAAAAACTAAACCCTCAAATGTCACTTAAAAGTAAAAGAAAGATAAATGTCAATTAACACTAATAATTCGGCAATGTCTAGGAGGTCCAATTTTTAACAAAGACCGGACTATTTATATGTCATCAATCTAATTTTTAACCAAGATCGGACTATTGATATTTCATCTTGTGTCGATGTACACAAACAATGCGATCTTTAATTAAAGACAAAGAATTTTTGTCATAACTAAAGCTATACATCGTCACTTTTGCAACACAAATACCAGGATGAAAAGAAATATTTACCATTGATAAGATTTGGCATACGATATTATTGCTTAAAAGCTGTTTTTATTTTTACTTATATATGTGGGTTTTCTAACACATGGCCATCACTGAACCAGCTTTTGAAATGAACTCATCAATGTTTTTGTCTGAACTTCCACCTTCATCCACTGCCTTTTTAGCCAACTCCTTCCATTTGAGGGCGTTGATTTTCATTTCTTTCCCTCTCTCTCCCTCCATTATTTCACTTATGCAATGTTCCACTACTTCTTCTCTCACAAGCCCTTTCTCATCAGATGGAGCTGTGAGCCCTATTTTCCACACATCCATAATGAACTTGGCATTGGTTCTTTGGTCAGTCCATTGTGGCATTGCCAACATTGGAACCCCCAAACTCAAAGCCTCCAAAGTTGAGTTCCAACCACAATGTGTAACAAAGCATCCAACAGCCTCATGAACCAAAACCTCCATTTGGGGGCACCATGAGACCACCAAACCTTTCTCCAATGTCTCCTCGACGAATCCTTCTGGCACTTTAGCTGCTTCTGATGCTCTGACCACCCACAAGAAGTTACTTTTGCTCCTCCTCAAACCCCGAGCCAGCTCCTCCATTTGCTCAACGCCAAGTTCTGCGAAACTGCCGAATGATACATAAGCAACAGACCCTTTTGGCCTTTCGTTTAGCCATTTGATGCAGGCATCATTGTCTGATTTAAAGAGGTTGACACCATATTCTTTGTCATCTTCAAGTCGCTCATCTAAGTACTTGGATGGTATAGTTGGTCCAACAGTCCTCAGTGGCCAAAACTTAGCCAGCCAATCCACCACCTAAGCAAAGAATTAATACCAATTAGTTTCATTGAAGCTTATAAAATTAATTATATATGACAGTTGAGAAAAAAGAAGGGAGATTCACTATTATACCCAATATAGGATTCCAAATTATAAAAACACCCCATATGAAATAGACTTTATAAACACACCCAAAGCTCATTTACAACCTAATAAAAAGGCTTTAACTTCTTTTAAATTACAAAACTGTCATTGATTTCTTAAAATAAACTCAACCCCAAAACCTCATAAAAAAAACTCAAAACACAATTTTGGGTTTGTTTATAGAAATTAAATGGTGTAGGATTTATCTATATTATTAGTGCTAAGAATGGGTATATGACTAAATATCTAAAAAAAGAAGGGAAAAAAAAGGCTTCCTTATGTACTCACTTGTTCTTCCAACTCATAAAATGTGTTGAAGAGGATCCAATCAGCTTTGTCAACATTTGAGAACTGACCCACAGACGCTTGGTAAAAACCCGGGTAAGACCCAAAATCGTATACAAACGATGGCAAGTCCAGAGGTTCAAGTGGTGGCAACCCCGGAAGCAAAATCCGAGACTGATCATCAGCAAGAGGAAGTTTCAGAAGTCCTTCGTGGATATGGTAGTAGATGTTTTCAACAGCACAAGATTGTGTGAAGAAAACAGCCCCAGCTATTCCAAACTTCCTGGCAATATCCAGAGGCCAAGTCATGAAAGCATCATAAATAACACAATCTACTGGGGACCCTGAGCTTGAAAGCTTCTTAAGGAGCTCAGCCAAAGTTTTCGATCCTACTTTCCAAAAGCTCTCCAAATAGGCATCTATGCTTGTTTCTCCTTTCCCGGTTTCGTCGTAGCCATCGGAGATGGTCTCCAGATCCAGCGCTATGCAGCTCGATGCTGATCCGTACATTGTCTTGTGGATATAGCGGGTAGTGACCAGTGTGACTTTAACTCCTTTGTGAGCTAAAACCTTGGAAAATTGGAGCATAGGATTAATATGGCCTTGGCACGGAAAGGGTAAGACCAAGCAGTGAGCTTTGTAGGCTATCTGTCCCTTCTCCATTTCTCTGTCTACTCTGAATTTAGAAGGCAATGTGAGTGGAATTTGTGTGATATGAAGGTGAGACGGCTTCTTTTAAGTTGATACGACATAATATAATTAATACATTAAAATTACATATAATAGGAGCTCTTGATTAATACTAAATCCGACGGTCACATATTTTTTTTGGGTTAATTATAATTAATAATTTGATAAACCGGTTTTTTTTTAATTATTATTTTATTTTCTTTGTTGAATTATTTGTTTGACAATCCTTTTAGCTATTATGGGTAGTTTTAAATTTGCTATCAATATATATGGTCCAATTCTTTTTATATAATTTTGTTCAAGACTTGTGACACCTAAAATCTCATAGCCGCCCCTACAGTGTAATATGAAGTGGAAAAGAAAGATGGGAAATTATTGTATAATCATCGTTTGGTTTTGAGGTCTTCTTATATACAGTGCATAAAAATGTAGAATAATTTCATATAATTCCACATATTTTTATATAATTTTGTTCAAGACTTATGAAACCTAAAATCTCATAGCCGCCCTTACAGTGTAATATAAAGTGGAAAAGAAAGACGGGAAATTATTGTATAATCACCGTTTGGTTTTGAGGTCTTCTTATACACAGTGCATAAAAATGTAGAATAATTTCATATAATAAGAGCTCTTGATTAATCTACATATTTTTTTGGGTTAATTATAATTAATAATTTGATAAACCACGGGTTTTTATTTTATTTTATGTTACTTGTTGAATTATTTGTTTGATGGCTATTGATGAGTAGTTTTAAATTTGCTATCAATATATATGGTCCAATTCTTTTTATATAATTTTGTTCAAGACTTGTGACACCTAAAATCTCAGAGCCGCCCTTATAGTGTAATATAAAGTGGAAAAGAAAGATGGGAAATTATTGTATGATCACCCTTTGGTCTTGAGGTCTTCTTATACATAGTGCATAATGTTGAGGCCCAAAAAATCTAGGGTTGGACCCAAATAAATTCTCGGCCCAGTGCGACACCTTATTAAGAAGAAACCCGGTTCGGAGCATGTGAAATTCGTCATGCACGCTTGCCCGAGCCACGATCCAAGTGCCATGCCAAATAAATGTGCAATCCGTCACGCTAAGAATTGAAATGAGCCTATAAAAGGCACTGTCTCTACAAGCCCATGCTAATTATCTCGTCAAGTATCATATCCCTTTTCAAAGGAGATAAAATTCAAGCACGCCAATCGACATGCCATGCCAAGCGAAAAATCATTATTTTACACCTAGACACGCTACAAGCTTAAGGGGGCTCAAGCCACGCAAATGCCTGGGGCTTACTGAGCGGGTTGTGGTATGAATGGTTACGAGCATTCACGAGGCCCATTGATGAGCCAAGAAGTGGAAGTTTTGGGCTACTTGGGACCACCAAAACTCAAGCTCATTTCTTGAGCCCAAACATATGGGTAAGCAAAAGAGAGAGAAAAATGACCCAACGCCTTAGGAGAATGTCCAATAGTCTGCAATACTTAGGAAAATCCTGCACCAGCTAAAACACCCAGTGCCTTGTCAAAAAAACAAAGCAAACAAGCTACTTCCAGCAACTTGACGAAACTATGAAGCCTTAGCAGGCCACTGGAAATAGAGTGCCAATGACCCAATACCTTAGAAGAAGCCCAGCCCAACGCCTTATAAAATATCTATAGCATCGTGTTCAACCTAGTCAAAGTTTTATGACAGAGTTAATGAGAAGCCATTGCAAGAACCAAAGGAAGTTCGTATGTGTATGAGGAATACCCATTGGACAAACGACTCTATCCATTCTCTTTTTCCTCTACGAGCTCTAATTTGAAAACCAAGGAAGAAAGCAAGTGGCGCCTCATCTCCATGGGGAGGTCCAGCCGCATAGAAAACTTTGGAACTCCAAAGAGCCTGTGACCCATGCGCTCTGGTTGAAGAGATTTCACCAAAAAAGAGTGAATGGAAAGAAGCAAAGGAAAAGTGGGAATGGAAGATCGATAGAATTAGGGTTCTAAATGCCTATAAAAGGGAGCTTCCTCTACCTAGCGAAACACCATCATCCAGAGCGCTACCAAGCTTTGTCAAGCGACTGGAAATTTACTCAAGACACCCCATTCTCTATTTCCATCTCTACCTCTCTTCCTTAGTCTTTCTCTTCAGATCTCTCTCCCCCTACCCTGAATATTTGTTTCCATAAGAAATTCAAGCTTTTGTCTCTCTCTCAGATTGCTAAACTTGTGAAGGCTTAGCTCCCATGCCACAAGCTCCTCAAGCCAAGCCATCCCATTGCTAATCTGTCACGTTTATTTGGTTGACTGGTGAAAGAATCCAAGGTGTTTTCTAAGGTTGTCACTACTCCTTTCAAAACTCTCTTGGAGCCCGGTCTTTGAACTCAGAAACAAGGGCAATCTCCTCCGCTCATCCTTTACAGCAGCCCAAGCCCATTCGTCTGGCTGCTGGAAGAAAAAAGACCCCAACACATAAAAATATAGAATAATTTCAAATTAAATAAGTAATGAAATAGCGTCAGGTAGGGGTGTGTATCGTTTCGAAACCAATGTAATTTAGCCCATTTGCATTCGATTCAATATATATTGAATTATGATTTTTTTTCAATCCAATCCAATCGAACTAGAGGTTTAAATCCAATATCCGATCCAATTGATATTGGATTGGATGATTGGTTTTCATAATTAAAAAACATAATAATGAAATATGAAATATTTATTGTTATGTTTAATCTAATCAAACATTTTAATATACATAAATGTAAAGTATAAATGAAATCCTAGAGAAAATTATTTTGATTCTATAATATATTAAATATAACTCCATCAAATGATTTAAAATGTTCATAACTTTCTCAATTACAAACAAAATAAGCATGAAACTAAGTAGATTGGATTGAATTTTCACAAGTAAATTCGTCATCCGATCCAATCATATTTGTTTCGGAAATCAGAGATCCAATCCAATTCGCCAAATTACCGAAACCAATTAAAATTGGATTAGATCGATCGATTTGGCCGGATTGAATTGAATCTTGCACAACCCAAGTCTCCTGGGCTGCATGTGCTGCTACATAGTCTCTGTTCTTCTTGATCTGATCTGGGTTGCCAGATCCCTAAATGTCACAAAAATTAAATTCTACGCCTCCTCCATCTCATCCCAATCCCACTTGGGCTACAACTTACAGGCCCAGTTTATATACAACTGAGAGATGTTGGTTTATAAGAAACAAAATTGTATTGACACCACAGAAAAAAAAAGAGTATCCAAAGGATAATACGGCAAAGACAAACCAACCCAAAGAGAAAAATAAATCCTTGAAAGCAAGGCTGTCTTGTATTGTATGAGCAAAGAGATGGGCAAAGGCTGTGAGCCTGTGACAGAATTTGGCATAAGATTGCTACCAAGAAATAACAATTGGATTCTTTTCTTCCTAAACAATTGGAGGAGCCGAGCAGTCTTTTGGATGTTTAAGGTTGACAACACCATCATTATTAACAAGATTCCGCAGCTTCCTTACAAACACCACCTACTTTGGCGATGTCCACACCAGGCTGTGGCTCCAAAATCTTCATTTTGAGCTCCGGTGGGGCAGGCAAACCGGCCTTTGCGCAAAGAACAATCAGCGATGGCAATGTGATCCCATCCTTCACAATCTTCCAAAACTCAAAAACCTCTCTTTCTGAGACTAACCCATCTCTCTCATTCACATTTCTGTTTTCCCAAACAGCTCTGAAATTTCAACACAACCCCATTACCATTATTGCCACGATTTTGAGTTTCTTCTGCTCTCTTTCCCTCCCCTTGTCAAATTAAAGCTCTTTTGGGTGTTTAAGATTGAAGAACAAGGTAACAAAGAGATGTTTCAAGGGCTGTGACATAAGTTGAGACTAGAGAATAAGGGTGTTGGCAAGAAAAAAGCAATTGAGTTTTTGTTTTTTTGGTTGCTAAAACAGTTAGAGGTGAAATTTTTTGCCAACTAATGTTTGAGGTACAAGTGTTGGAGACTAGGACCAATAGATCACCCCATGAATTTAAAGTACAATATTGTTCCATTTGAAGATATTTGGATAATTGAAGAACAGCTCTCTTCCTCTATAACACAATTTCTTAATTATTTTTTGGCAATTTTTTATTTAAAGAAGACAATGACAAAAACTAAACTCTCGAGTGTCTTGTAAAAGAAAAAGAAACGATAAATGTCAATTAACACTAATAATTCGGCTCTATCTAGGATGTCCAATGTTTAACAAAGACCGGACTATTATATGTTCTCAATCTAATTTTTAACTAAGATCGGACTATTGATATGTCATCAATGATGTGTCGATGTATACGACAAAGCTATAAATCGTCACTTTTGCAACACAAATACGACGATGAAAAGAAATATTGATAAATTGACAACAGCTTGTTGACAAGATTTGGCATACAAATATTATTGGAACCACACACAGCGCTTAAAGCTGTTTTTACTTGTGTGGGCTTTTCTAACACATAGCTATCATCACTGAAACAGCTTTGAAATGAACTCATCAATGTTTTTGTCTGAACTTCCACCTTCATCTTAACTAAGATCGGACTATTGATATGTCATCAATGATGTGTCGATGTATACGAACAGTGTGGTCTTTAATAAAAGACAGAATTTTTGCCATTACTAAAGCTATAAATCGTCACTTTTGCAACACAAATTGTTTGGATGTGGTCTCCAAATCCAAGCTAAGTCAAGTGGTCTCCAAATCCATACTTCAGAAAAATGAAGGCAGGGGACACTACAATGGTTGGGTGATCTTCAATTTTGGATATGTTATAAGCAACACAATTTCGAGCAAATTTCGTGAAGCAATTACAATCATCCGAGGATCATATATTAAAATCAAATGCAGAAACCGAATCTGCAAAAACTCACCAGCCATGGATGAACACAAAATCTGCAAACCCGTTTTGAGGCATCAGGGAAATTCAGAAAAATCTACAAATTTCACAGACTTTAGTTCTCAAGTA